CAACAATAATGACCGCATAGTAGCTGATTTACCTGCGGGGACTCAACTCAGGGTTTTTTTTAGGGGACTCAACTTAGGTGTTCAACGACCAAGCGTTTTCATGCCATCGTCGTTAATGCTAGTTTTTCTAGTAGTGGCTAGGGCTGGGACCGAGGGTTAGGCTGATACCATGTAGAGGAATAGGATGCAACTCTCAATGTATTGATAGGTGCATATGCACAAGTATATATAATACATAGGGCAAGTCATATCCTTAACTATACACAAAAAGGAGACTCGGAGTACAAAAATACATATGCTAAATACATATCTCAACATGCAATGCGTTTGAGCCAATGCAAGTTACGTGATGTAGGTGGCCTGGCTGCACGTACTAGTGCACTGCCATCCAACACACGCACGAGCAAGGGCTAGTGCACTTCAGCCATGCATCCAGCGCGCGTGAGGCTGACCTCGGGCCGCACGGTGTGGATAACCACATGCGGACGCGGGGCAGAGCGTTTGCACCAACGCACCACGCGCGTGCCGTCCTGCAGGGAGGAGCACGATGGAGCCAGCTGGATGAAGGCGAGGTTGAAGGAGGATCCCGATCAAATCAAGGCGACGACGGTCGCGAGCGACGGATGCGCGGACGACGGCCGCCACGTATCGCGTGTGGCCATCGTGTCCGAGAAGAAGCCGCGTAGTCGTGCTGATGTCGGAGTAGAGGCACGCGAGGTTTGACGGCGGCGGTGGGCGACTCAAACCGATCTTAGATCGGAAAACCAAAAAGTAGACGCCGATCAAAGCGACCGGCGAGAGAGAGAAAAATCCGGATCAAAGGATCGGGAAAAAGACTCTCTGGGGCAGCCGGTCGACACTACCGGCGGACGAACCCTAGATACGGGCGGTGCAGCCCCTGGCGGCGGTCGTGAAGGCCGACCGCCCCGGGGGCGGCGGGCGGAGCGGAAGCGACGGGCTGCTAGGGTTTAGAACCCGAAAAGTGATACCATGTTAGAAGGGAGAGAGGGATTTGGTGGAATAGTTGTTGTATTGTTTGAGCCTCGTGGGCATATATATAGGAGTACAAAGACCAACTTGAAGTACAAGACAAGGCAGGACCAAATCCTAGTCTATCCTATACTTCCTAATAATCCTTATACTCAAGAGGTCAGTACTGACAGGTAATTGGAACATAATCTCCTAGATAATTTTACTTGACATCTACTCCCTTCATTCCATAATATAAGAGTGATTTTTACACAAGTATATTGTAAAAAACACTCTTATATTATGGGAAGGAGGGAGTAACTAATATGTGTGAGCAAAACTGCACTAGTACACATGGCGATCGATCAAGCACTCACCCTGCAGCATTCTCGTGCATTCACCTTTGCACGCGCCTCGTGAAGAACCACCGGACCAGATCCTTCTCCTCTCACGCGATCCCTCCAGACCTCCCCCCCCCCCCTACGCCGCGTGCATCCTCAAGCACCGCCTGGGAAGGGACAGTCGTTGTGCTTCCTTCGGACAGAACGCTATTGCGGAACTGCCGACGGCGAAGCAGGCGCCCATGCAAACTCAAGAAGGGAGCAGCGGGGCTAGGGCGCTCCACTGAAACGGCGCTCTTTAGGAGCCACCAGTGGCGAGGTGCGGCAGCAGGTGGGGCGTGATTTGGAAACATTTTGTGGACAACGGCAAGGAGGAGACATGTCATAACTAGCAGCCTAGCAGAAGGAGCCAGCTGAGTTTGAGCGCTTTATTAAAGCATTAGAATTTGAAAACATAGGTGAGCCTATCAAACTTTCAGATCAGAATTCGGTCACATTTGAAGAGTTTATTCAAATGCATTAAAAAATTCGGCATCGACCAACTCATGAGCAGCAATAGGAAGTTTAGATTGAGCAGACGTGAGCGGTTAACGGGGACAACAATGTTGAAATGTAATATTTGATTTTTTTTTAAAAAAAATTAAACTACTACTGCATTCGAACATTTGAATGTGTGTAGTTTATGTATTCGGCTATTTGAATGTGTGGACTTAAAAAAATATTAGGGAGGCCGGATGTATGCAAGCAGTGTTGGATGGCCGGCTCCCACATACATGTTTGTGGATTGGTCCCCTGTCAGCAAACGGATGCGGGAGAAAATTTGCGAGTTGGCATTCAAGATGTCCTTAGGGGAACAAAACTATGGTAGTTGTCCAAATTAAAATGATCGATTGGTTTCTTGCAAATGAAAACTAAAATGACCAGTTGCTGATTAGCAATCATTTATTCCTCATAGGTATGGAAGACTACCATGATAGCTAGAAGTGTGTGCACACCCCGATAAATCGCGGATGGACATGCCATCACGCGTTGCCGATATCCATACCGCACGACTCCATGAGATTTGTGCAACATTAATACGCTTCGGCTGTATAATCAGTTCATTTATTTGTATAGCACTCAGTATTCACGCAGTATTGTCGCTGACAAGGCAGCACGAGCATTTAAATTGCTGTCGAGCATTTATGACTACATTGATTCCACACTATTGATTAGAGGAGTCATTCTCAGTGATTTGCAGCGTACAATAACGGCAACCTGCACCATCGCATGCATTTTCTCCCCATCCATTGTTCATACTGCAGCTCCTCTCTCACTCATCTTGCTTTTCTAGTTCTTGCTCTTCGTTGGCATGGTTAGCTAGAACTCATACATGGAGATTTAGAGTTTCTTTTCGGAAAAAATGGAGATGTGGAATTGTAGTTGCAGTAGTCCATCTCTCTCTCTCTCTCTTTCTCTCAGCTTTGATGGCCATGTGTCACTCAATGACTGTCTAAGAGCAGTCCATATTCCTCACCCTCTCTTTCTCTCAATCCTCTTAATCGTGCCAACAATATTTTATGTCCATTAGCTTCTACAACACCAGCATTTTAGTTCATGTCCTAGTGTCATTTATGTGTTCATCTATATCCTACATCTTCTCCAGCTCTTTCCATGGGAGTTTACTTGGCTGAATCGTAGCTCACACTTCAAGTAACCCCGTGTAAATAAATTTGCCCTCTACCTAGCCATTTCGATTATAGGATTCAACACTGTTCTTCATACACCCATCTGTATGAAGCATATTTAAAATACATGCCCCGCACAAGCCACCCCAATTAATTCGTACTGGCTGCATAAACACTAAATGACATGAAGGCCATCAAGTACCCACCAGGATTTAAGTCCAACACATCTGACAGAGTGCCTAAAGTCAACTACCAGACAAAGTGCATACAAATTTAAAGTGGCATGGCCCACTCACTACTGTGTATTCAAGGCATACAAGTTTGAGACAGCCACATTTAAACGTTGTAGATCAGTATTTTAAATGGCATGCACCACATTAACATGGAAGAACTGTCAAGACCGTATTTTGCATGCATATTCGCTTGTATCCAATTCCATTTAGGCCCAGTTCTTTTCACACAGGATTTTGCAGAATCAAGATTTTGAAAAATTCTCTCAGAGTCTGCTTCTCCCAGAATTTGTTGCTGAGTTCTTTTTTGGGATTGTAGGTTGAGATTCTGGAAAGAATTGTGTGTTGAAATGTCTGTAGTACCCTTAGACAGAAAATGTTTGATGAATTTATTAACACATTGTTGTTTCTAACAGTATCTAGTCGAATATGAGTACGAAAGTAATTTACGAATGTCATAAAAATTGCTAAATATTACATTTAGAATGGATTTAAAGATTTGTTCATTACAAAAGTGGATGAACTAAAAAAATGAATAATCTCAAGGTACGAGACTAGCAGCAATCGCCTCGCGTACTGCGTTCATGGTACCATAATCTTATGGTGGTAGAGCATTGGCACCTGTAAACGGCAATGGAGGTTGCATATATACATCATTGTCGAACTTGTCAAAATGCTCATCACGTAACTTGCCATCACGAATCCAATTGTGGAGACATATGCATGCAGTGACAATCATCTTTTGGGTCTCCGGTTTCTACCGAGGTATGCCTTCATCTCCAAGAATTCGCCATTTCATCTTGAAAACACCAAATGTTCTTTCAATGACATCTACCTATGCATCCATCTATCTAATAGATTCAAGCATCAATACATCTACCATCTATCTAATAGATTCAAGCATCAATACATCTACCTATGCAACATAAATCAGTCTATCTATCCAATTTCGCATAAGACAAATGAAGAGCAGAGAGATAGGAAAGAGGATGGCTCACCGTGGGTTTGGCCTGCTCCTCGCGTGGGCTGCTCATGGATGTCGAGGTGCAGCGCCGGTGGCCGTCCAGTTGCACCTGAAGCCCATCGGGGTCGCCGTGGAGGTGCAGCGCCGGTGGTTGCGGGCGGAGACAGGGCATAGGGGTGGATGAGAAGCAAAGGAAGAGGGGCGGCGGAGGGAGTTATGGCCGGCGGCGGCAAGGGCCTGGGCGGCGAGGTGGATCCTGCGGCGGCGAGACAACCCTAGCCCTTGCTGCGGCTGGGGAATCTTTCCCCGATGCGAACAGGCAGGGGTCGAGCGAAGGCGCTAGCTCGTTTTCTCGAGCCAGTGTGTGGATGGTCCAGTGGCATTCCGGGTGTAAATTCTCCATGGGATAGGGGTACACTTCTATTTTGAAACGTTTTCTTTGGTGGGACTTGCCAAAATCCTGAGATTCTGAGAAAATCATGCTTTTTGGTAGCTTTTGGATTGCACTAGGATTCTAGAGAATCCTCTCCAGATTTTGGAAGTGAATTCGAGTTCTTTTGGCTCCAGATTTTCCAGACTAAAATTCTCCACAATCTGCTCAAAAGAACTGGGCCTTAAGATGGCTAGCACCAACCCACGTACACGTATTTACTGAATTAACCTGGCTTATTGTTTGGGTATCATTCAATCACTATATTAATAGCTAATCTTATAGCATAGATAGACCGTCCAGATTTCATCCTCGCGCGTCACCATGTCCTAAAAATCCGTGTCCGTGCACACCCTCTCTTTACGGTTGGCAAGTGAAGTTGTTGCTATTAAGTAAGATCTATGATCGGGCCTGCACTGACGGGATCGAGACGCTTGACCCGGTGCTTGAATTGGCGCCGGCGTTTCTAGAGTAGAACGCCGGCTTGGACGGAGCCGGGAGAGAGAATGTGTCGCTGCCGAGCATCATGGCCACCGTGGACATCATCGGCCGGTCTGTTGGGTTGCCCTGGATGCACAGAAGCCCGACATGGATGCACCTCAGCGCATCGCTCTCCGACTCTGAGAAGCTCTTGCTCATGCACGGGTCTAGCATCTCCAGTAGTGTTCCGGCCGTCCAATGCTCCCATACCTGCACGATTTGTAGGATCGATGAGCCAAGCTGCACTGCAGGTTAGTTAGTCAGACATTCAGATAACAAGCACATACGGTCGTCAGGAGATCCTGAGATTGTTGGGAGTTGTAGCTGTCAGTGTTCTTCCTTCCCGTCACGATCTCAAGGACCAACACGCCGAAGCTGAACGTGTCTGATTTCGCAGAGTAGTTCCCGCGCATCACGTACTCGGGCGCCATGTATCCACTAAACAACCAATGAGAAGAGCTCATAGTGAGCTACCTACTGCTGGAAAACTTACTGTCTTTCATGCTACTACTTACTGTGTGCCGACGATGCGGTTCGTCACGCCCTGTGTCTGGTCTCTCCCGAAAATTTTGGCGAGGCCAAAATCTGAAATCTTGGGGTTCATGTTCATGTCTAGCAAGACATTGCTCGCTTTGAGGTCACGATGGACTACTTTGAGCTGAGAGTCTTCATGGAGGTACTGCAAGCCTCGAGCGACTCCGTTTATGATCTTGCACCTTGTTTCCCAATCCAGTTGCTGACGTTTCTCTTCATCTGCTTTTTCATCAAAATAATTAGAAAAAAGTATTAAGATCAGTGTGATGTTACATTCTTATTTCAATCTGTGGAGAAAACGGAGAATAGAATCATGGCTGGACTAGTTACCGAAAAGGATCAGATCGAGGCTTCGGTTAGGAACAAACTCATAGATGAGCAGCCTCTCTTGTTGCTCCAAGCAGACGCCGACCAGTCTTACAAGGTTCTTGTGCTTCAGCTTTGCAACCAAGGCGAGCTCATTCTTGAGCTCCTCCACCCCTTGCGTTGAGCTCTTGGAGAGTCTCTTCACAGCGATCTCATCGCCGTTCAAGAGAGTACCCTGAATAAATTGTATGAAAGCTTTAGCTAAACCACAAAATTTTCAATGTTATGCATAATTGCCTGCTGGCTTCAAGATATATAGGATAGTTCAGTACCTTGAACACGGGGCCAAATCCGCCTTCACCAAGTTTGTTGTTCTCCGCAAAATCCTTGGTTGCCGCTCGCAAAGTTGAAATGTCAATTAACATTGACTCTACACTTTCGATGTCTTGCGCTTCATCGATGGAATAATTTTGATCTGTTTTAATATAAAATAGATGCCGATGTCACTGACATAAGTGCATAAAATGTTTGTTTGTTTCATTTTAGGCTCTGACACTGTAGCTGGAGAGTTTTGCCTGACAAACTGACATGTATACCTGGTTGCTTTGCCTTTGTGAATGCCTGGCGCCGCCTCCTCCTCAATGTAAAGAGCCAAGCGACGAGGTTTATGGCTGCTATCGTGGGCAACAGAATTATAAGTACCATGCCAGGAGCACTGTACTTTCTCCCTGTGAATTTGGCAATTTAAGATAACTCGTGTGTCGTGTCAGGTAACTATATTTGAGTTCAATAAGAGGTTTCACAAAATTGAAGTTTGAGCGGCCGGAGAAGGCGAGTAGAGTAGAGGAAAGCAGAGGAAGAAGAGCAGAGGGGATGCACAGCGAAAGGAGAGTAGCACATGAGAAGTTAAACACTCACCCTCTGATGTCGCCGATGCAGGAGCCATGGGCACTACGGCCGGCGCCGGCGCTCCAGATCGCGCCGGCAGCTTCACGATCACCGGGCCATTCATGAAGGGCTTGGTCTCGTAGCGGAAGCTGCATCGGGGAGCAAGAAGCCTGCCGCCGATACTGTCCGTGAACTGCAACGGCAGCTGAGCTAAGATCTGGGAGAGGCAGTCCCGGCACCGGCCCGGCGTCAGGTCCGGGGTGCACTGCGCCCAGCTGTACACCTTGGGGAACTCCCGGTCCAGGTCGGCTTGGCCGGTGGCGTACCGCCGCGTGGAGTTGTACGCGGCGTAGTCGGCGGTGGCGTTCAGGAGCGTGGCCACGGTGCGCTGGTACCATCCCGGCTCCGACGTGGCGTTCCCCGAGTTGCGGACCGTGATGCTGAGGTCCAGGCCCATGGGGCCGGAGTCGTCGGCGGAGAGGAACTGGACGTCGGAGTAGCGGAGCATGCAGGCGTCGTAGTAGATGACGGCGTCCTTGGAGCCGGGGCAGACGTTCTGGAGGTTGGCGAAGGCGTTGACGAGGCAGCTGGAGCAGGCCCTGGGGCTGGCGTCACCGCGGCAGAGCGCGAGGGCCGTGACCTTCTCCGGGACGGCGCCGGCCTCGGCGGTGGCGAAGAGGTTGGGCGACGCCGAGGCGTTCTTGGGGAGCGCGGCGGCGACGAGGTTGAGGTTGGCCTGGTACCGGCTCTTGTCGTCGAATTCGCCGCCGTCGCCGCACAGTGGCCACGGCTCTCCTGCGACGTGGCCGCCGGGCGCGAGCAGTAAGACGGCAAGGACGAGCACAGACAGGGCGAGACGATGGGCCGCCATTGAGCAGAGCAACACGCACGGTGGACGAGCAAAGGTAGCTTTTGAGAACGGGGAAAATTTAATAGCAAGTGGCCGCCACCCACTCACTACAACTCGGGCCGTGTTTGCATATAGCAGCTTCACCTTTAATTTCCTTTGCTTTAACAATTTGTGCCCAAATTATCTCATTAACAGTTTTTAACTCAGACTATTCTATTTCGCGAAGTTTTGCTGGTTCTCACCCCATTTAGGGAATAGTTTGCCAGTTTTTACCCCGTTTAATGATCTACTTCCTCCGTTCCTAAATATTTGTCTTTCTAAAGATTTCAGCAAGTGACCACATACGAAGCAAAATGAGTGAATTTACACTCTAAAATATATCTACATACATCCGTATGTTGTAACCATTTAAAATGTCTAGAAAGACAAATATTTGGAAACGGAGGGAGTATCACATAATTATCATCTGTAAGTACACATGGCATGGTTAAAAGGGAGGTAGTACCCCCTCCCACTAGTGATCAAACCCTACATTTGACACTTTAGTGTCTCGCTATTGCCGATTATCATTTCAGGAGGGCAGTGTTCACGTTATAATATATGTTTCTACGTTACAAAATTTGAATCAAGTATAAGATTAGTGTATTTAAGTCATGTAATTTTCAACTGATACAACATTTGGCATCATCGACAAAAAAATATTGTAGATCTAATGACTATTTGGTTCGACAAATGGTGTATATTCTAGTATTTTTTTAACGATGTTTGTTTTTTTTTTGCCGGATTTGGGCCCGAGGCAGGCCGGAGCGGGCTATCCGGATAGGCAGGTGCGGTCCGGGAGGTGTTCGTGGAGGTGTTGGGGCAGCACGGTTGTCTTGGACTCTTGGTTGGACGGCGGTGTGATCCAGGTAGCTGACGTTCAACGGTCGACGCGGATCTGGTTTCTGGTGGTGGACGACGGCCGACGGTGCTCTGCTATGGGGGGTTGACTTGGTCCGCGTTGGATGCCTTCGCGTTGTGTCCCTCTTGCTTGGTGTTTGTGGTGGCGTTAGTTTGAGGGATGCCCTCCGGGCGTTGCGGTTTCGTCATACGGATCGGTGGCAATGACCATGGACATGGCGGCGTTCGAGCATGCTCAACGGTGGCTGTCGGCAGTCACTAGGTTGTCCCCCCCCCCACCCCAGCCCCGGTCCACCAGGATCGGCTGGGGACGCAGGCGTGGCCGTTTCCTACTATGGAGGTGCCGACCCAAACCCGGTGGCTGATGCCGGGCTGGGAGTGAAAGGTGGCCCCTTTCACTCTTACTACTGTGGTTGGGTGGTTGAGACGGGGATGATCAACGGTGCCCAGGGGCATGGATGCGGGATGGCGGTCCCGGACGATGGGCTCCACGGTTAGCTTTCCGACAGGCTTCGTGGTAGCAGTGGTGGCTTCATCTCTCGGTCGTGTGGGAGAACGGGGAGGTAGCGGTGGGAGGTTCATACTTGCCATGGCAGTGCCCAGATCTGGGATGGACAAGCTGACCCTCGTTGAGGTCGTGGTCGAGACTCCTCTTGGTGGTGCAGGCGTGTGTCCAAGTGAAAGCCCCGTGCTTCTGGCGACTGGCGCCGCCGTCGGCGACGCCCATGGGTGCCGCTTGCTTCTTGAAGACGGCATCGTGGATCTTGTCTCTGTGCTAGGGCTCACGGTGAAAACCTTTGTCTGTTCTCAGACTCGGCAGCGGTGACACTTCGCGCCGTCACCCTCTTGGGGGAGTTGTCATTGAGCTCAGGGGTCTGTGTTCGGGCCTTGGCGAGGTGTTAGCATGTTCTAGGCTCATGTTGTATCTTTTTTATATGCTTTGTAAGGGGACCTCCCCATCATATTGTATCGTTCGGCCGTGTATTTTGGTTCGTTGCTTTATATATAAAGCGGGGCGAAAGCCTATTTCGAGAGACTTGTTTGTTGTGTCCATCACACCATCAGAGGCTATACATTCTTTCAAGTTTCAATACGGTTGTATCACCTTAATATATCAATTTAGTGAAATGTCCTTCAAAAAAATTGACGCTCTTCTGGGTTGAAAGCAGACCATTGACATGGAGGCCACTCGCCCCAACCTCCAAATATGAAGGTCAGCATGCTCGATTTATTTTGCAGTTCGTGGGAGGTACGGCGACTTTACTAGAATGTTTTCTTTTTGACTGCGATCATCATACGGATGATTATTATGACAATCAGCCCGATATGATAACGCGTTGATTTTAGGTGATGGATGTCTGTCCAGGGCCATAGACCCGACATGCTGCTAGTGGCTATCTAGCCATACCACTGAACTTGGACTTTGGAGGAATTTAATACGGATTTCACGGACTAGTAGAGATGGACCAATAGGATTGCGAACTAGGAGAGGAAGAGCCCGCACCCCCTGAAAATCAAGGGGCAGAGAGATTGGTTAGCAGGAAGGCCTGTAAAACCCCCGTGAGTCTCCGTGAGTCTAGCATTTTCGGTCCACATAGTCTGCCGGACGAGCCGGGGCGCGAGGAAACCATGGAATTCCCAAGTGGCATTCGGTGTCATCGTACGTGTAGACGCAGAGCGGAGACGCATGCGGTCAAAGTCCTAAAGGCAGGCGGCTACGAAATCATCCGTCAACCAAATCTTTTCACAAGTGTTTAGAAATCATCTTTGGCTGGACCTCGCCGGCGGCGACCCATACGAACACCGCGACGCAATTGGCGATGCAACTTGCTGCCTTTCGTTCTAGGACACATTTAGATGTGACATAGTTATGCCACATCTAAACTGATTTCCACTTTGTTTGTGGTGTATTTTTTTATTCTAGTTTTTATTTTGTTTCCGATTGCTGCAAGTATATTTGTGGGAACTTAGATGTGACATCTTTAAAAAACATTTAGATGTGAATTAGACAAACTGATGCAGAAACGGCCGGATCATTGTTAAACAAGTCACACCCTACGTCGTCCACTAGACCACGGGCACGGGCTGCGCATCTTGCCGAACAATGGATTACTAATTCTTTAGCCGGTAGGGGCGGACCTAGAACAAAAACTTCCCGGGGTCCACGTGTACGCCATAAATGATGGATACTATGCAATAATATACACAAAAGTAACCCATTAAATAGCTTAAAATGTCCAATAATAAAAAATAATTATCAAAATGAAGTGTTCCCTTGAAATTCTTGTTGATTGTGTAAAATTAAACAATAAAAAATAAGATCTCCAAACAATAGGAACAAATATGATCAGGCAACATAAATTCCCTCGTAATTCGTTGATTATTATGTTATCACAAGTGCACAAGGAGTTACACTATTTGTGTTTGTAGGCAGAAACAACAAATAAAGCTTGCTCTTCGAAATGTATGGTTGTGAAGTTAAACTTACTTGACATTGTGTCTTAATGCTGCCGCACCGTCGACAAATAATCCAAGGTTCCAAATGGATGTGAATCACTAAGGAAAATTTATCAAATCACAGAATCCGTGTCTCTGTTGCAATACCCTTGAATTTGAAAACACCGGCCATACAATCTAGGTAAAGAATTAGAGAAAATTGGGATATGTACATATGTTTCAGACAAATTGGCGACCTTACCGAGAGCAATACTATTTCCTTTGATTATTTAGCAATCTGCAGCCGCCAGCGAATGAGCGCAGGGAATGGCGGCTGATGACTAGCAATTGCTCAGGGGGTGAGGGGCGGCGGTGCTGCGACGGAAGGAGGCAAGCAGGCACCAACCGAACTGGCGCAGGATAAGCACGTATGTGAGCGGTAGGATCCAATCGATCGCTATCTTGTTTTCTTTGCTCCCTCGAGACGATTGACAGCCGGATGGGCCTTCAACTAGATGGGCCGTGCCTGAGCTCACTCCAACTAAGTCAACGGGTGTCTAGATTAATTTTTTACCGGTGTCCAAGCCTCAAATACGAAGTAGTATACACGTAAGCGCAATTTCTACCCGGTGTCCTGTGACACCGGCTACGTGAACGTAGGTCCGCCCCTGTTAGCCGGTACTTGGTCTTCACATAATAAGATGCTTAACTTTGACATGGACGGCTTTGCCACTTGCGCGGGCGGCTGATCAACTTTGACTCGTTGTTTGTTTTCCACTCGATGACCCACTCGTGGAAAACTGGCGCGTCGAGGATTATGGTGGAGCCAATGGACTGGTTTGTCTCGCCGGGTAGGCTGAGCATGGTGGTGGGGGACATAATGGCATCTCTAACGCGGACCCTTAAACCGCGTGTATGTGGTCCGGACGTGATTTTGTCATTTAATACGGTCCTGTATCCGTCTGCCAGCCGGTCCGGAAGTCTTTTTTTCTCGCAAACTAGGGGAGGGGCTTTGCGGACGTCCGAACCGCTGCCACACACGCGTCCGACAACTCTGGCCCACCCACCCACCCCGACCCCCATCTCCTACGCTTTCTATCTGACGCCCGTGCCGCTTCTCGCCCTGCATTCATGCCGGTCTAGAGCATGCAGCGGCCGACATTGATGCCGCGTGATGTGACCGGACGTGAGGATGACATTGACAGACGCAACCTCTCGGGCGACGGCGCTTGAATGCGGATGCAGCGTCCTGAGAAACCAACTTTGGGCGTTGCGCCACATTAAAGCAGATAGACAAGTCTCCAGTGATGGAAAAGTCTGTTCGGCGCCGTCCACAAAGTACTCTCCAGTGATGAACAAGTCTTGGGCCTCGACACCGGCAGACGGCTCCGGAGGATTGTGGCGACACCGTCTTACTCGTCGGCGGCTGGCTCCTCCGCAAAGGAGGAGATCATCATCTCGTCCGGCGACGAGGAGGACCAGCACCGCAACATCGGTGTCGCCGCACCAGTCACCGCCGCAGACACTCATCCTCTCACAGGACATGATGTATGCGATGATGGATACTAGTCACGAGGAGCAGATGGAGCTGATGCTCCGTCGCTCGCTCCTCCACGTCCAAAGTCCGGCGGCGCCACCGGAGACGCTTCTCCGTGCTGTCAAGCCGGAGCCCACTTCCCCTCCCT